ACACACATATACATACACACACACACATATATACAAAAACACATATATACATACACACACAGACACACACACACACATATACACACATATATATACACACACACATATATACATACACAGACACACATATATATATATACACACACACACACATATATACACACACAGACACACATATATATACACACACATACACATATATACACACACATACACAGACACACACACACACACACACACATATATATATATATATTTGTGCTCGGAATTTAAATATGTAATGGATAGTATCTGTGAGCAAAGTTGGTTGTGGTGTGCCGAAACCAACATACGAGTGGGCCTGTAAATAAAAGAGGGCCCACCAAGGAGAATGTAGTTATAACAGGGTGTAGGTGGGTGGGGACAATCAGCTGAGCGGCAGCGGTGAGTAGGGACTGGGAGTTTAAGTAGGGGACTTACTCCTCCCACAAATTCAGGCCTAATGGCCTTTCTACTTGTGCTCGGAATTTAAATACGTAATGGATAGTATCTGTGAGCAAAGTTGGTTGTGGTGTGCCGAAACCAACGTACGAGTGGGCCTGTAAATAAAAAAGAGGGCAAAAGATAAATTCGAGAAAATACACACTTTATTGCATTTTACAAGACCAAGTTCCTGAAAGCTTGGCGAAGCTCTTTCTCCGGTTGCGGAATATATGCGTTATATATGGAGGATTTCCATCGCCCCAGCCTTTTGATGATGTGGACCGGTGCGTTTGTGCTAGAGGCTGCTGAGGCGGCTCCTATGCGGAAGGAGTGCCCGGAGAATGCAGCTGGGTTGTGTCCGAGCTTAGATAACAGGGTTCTGACATGTAACATCAATTTTGCCGTGGTAAGCGGGTGCCCTTGTAATGTTAAGAGCGGAGAGTCTGGCAGGTGAGCGTGAAGAGTTGACCGTAGTTGGTCTAGAACTTTCACCGGACACCAGGCATTATCAGTAGGGAAGAGAGAATTATTGTAGGGTGTAGTGACCGGTTGGTTTTAGTTGTAGGGATAGAAAGTAGGTAGTGATCCTCTATCTTGGTGAGGTGTGAAGTTTTAAGGCTTAGCGTGATATCTCTTTGACAAACCACGGTGAACTCTCTACGTCTGAGAAAACCATAGAAAGCGAGATATATAGCAGATTTGATCACTGTATTGGTGTTGCTATCGAATGGGGCTGTGTCAAGGAGATTGCTAAGTGACCTGAAGATAGGCCCGTCTATTGGTAATCTAGTGCTTGTGAGTGGAGGTGAAACCTTTGATATACCTTTCAAGACCTTTTTAATGGAGTAAGATGACAAAAAAGGAGTGCTGTTAGGAAAATTGGCTGTGGTGCTGAACCCCGGTGAGGTAAAGTTTAATGGTGTTGTGCGACAGTTTAAGGTGTAGGTGGCAGAAAGAGGCAAAAGTCACCATGGTTTGGATAGAAAAGTCACCTTGTAGACCGAATACTGCAGTGAATTTGTTAAATATGTTAAGTGCCCTATTGTAAGTGATCGCAGTGTTGGGTGATAATGCTTGGTGAGTGAGTGATCTAGCGTGATACAAGAGTGTGCTTAATCCAAGATCAGTTCGTGAAACCGTGGTGTCCTGGATGGCTGTTGGTGAGCCGTTGGGAGTGCCTGAGAAAATGCCTGGAATTGAGAACGAGAAAGAGCGTCAGCGGCTGTGTTGTGAATACCCGGGATGTGAAAACATACTAAGTGAAACTGACCGGATGCTGCCAGCCAGGTCAGCTTGCGAATCAGCCGCATGATGGTCAGGGATGATGAGCGCCCTTTGTTAATGATTTCGCAAGCCGCCGAGTTATCTGAGTAGCATTTTACTGCCTTGCTGGACCAGAGATGACCCCAGGTGTGTGCGGCCGCCACAATGGGGTAAATTTCAAATAGGGCTGAGGTCTCCCTGAATCCTGGCAAGGCATCCGTCTCAGTGGGCCAGTGGCCCCTAAACCAGTGGTTCCCAAAAATGGCTGCGAAACCGGTGTTGGCTGCTGCGTCTGTGTGGATGATGGGTGAAGAGGTGGAGAGAGGGGGGATAAACATGGAGATACCATTCCAGTCTTTCAAAAACTTCCCCCACATAGCTAAGTCAGCCTTGGCGTGGGGGTCCAAAGAAACTGTGCCGGAGTCCGGGACTCCATGGAGCAGGCAAAGAAGTCTGGATATGAAAGACCTTCCCTGCGGAATGATGCGCATGGCGAAGTTCAGAGATCCAAGAAGGGACTGAAGTTCTCTCCTGGTGCAAACATCATTCCGCAGGAACATGTCTATCTCCCCTCTCAATCGTGACAGTTTGTCGTGGGGAAGGCTAGCTCTGCGTTTGACAGAGTCGAGCTCTATCCCTAAAAAAGGTAAATTTTGTTGTGGGGCCTATAGTTTTAGCTGGGGACAAAGGGACTCCAAGTGTGGAAAATAGTGCGGTAGTACTTTTGATTGCTGAGGGTGTTGATGACCCTGGCTCTATCAGTAGAAAGTCATCTAGATAGTGAATAACGGAGTGACACCTGATGACATACAGAAGCAGCCAGCATAGTGACTCTGCGAAAATGTCAAAAAGTTTGGGGCTGTTTCGAGAACCGAAAGTGAGTCGTGTTGAGAAGTAATAATTCCCTCGCCATTTAACACCGTGTAAGTGCCAGAGTGAGGGGTGCATGGGCAGTAATTTAAACACGTTTGTGATGTCTGTTTTGCTGAGCCAGGGTCGATTACCAGATGATATGATGGACTGTATGGCGTCGTCGATGGTTACATACTGAAGTGAGAATTCGTCTGCTGGAATGAGTGCGTTTATGCTTGGAACAAAAGAGGAGTGCGGTGCCGATAAATCGATAATTAGACGTTTTTTATTAGAATATTTGTGAATAGCAATACCAATAGGGTTAGTGCGCCAGGAGGAAAACGGTGAAGAGGTGAAGGTTCCGATCATGAAACCGTTAGTGGTTTCTGAGGAAATGAGAGTGTCTATAGCGACTGGGTCTAAACGTGCTGACTGGAGATTAGGACATTCTAGTGTACCTGGGGGAATGGCTACTATGCCTGTGTGAAACCCTTGTGAGAATCCTGTGGTGAGATATTCCAAGTGCCTGCTAGGGTGAGACCTTAGATAAAAAACCAGGTTGTCGATATTTATGTTGGTTAGTCATTTGTTTGGTGACAACCTGGCTGGACACATGGTCTTGGTATGTGCCCTGAAACATATGGAGCAGATGTGCAATAATCTACAGGCGCTGAAACTGCAGGAGCCTGCGTTGAAGTTATTGCACACCTGCGCCTTACCTAAAAAGGAGATGGGCCTACCCAGCTTATCCCGAAGACCACCCACTGGTTTGTTGTGAGGGGTGAAAGTAGAGTGAGGTGTGAACGTGGGGTGAGGGGTGGGAGTGGAGGTGGTGGGATCTGATTTGACGGGACATAAGTCCGCCATGTGGGATGTCGAATTACAAATGGCACAAGCCGGGGGCCTGAGTCCAGCGAAGTGGCGACAGAAAAGTTCTGTGTCCATCTGACCCCAGTTCATTCTAATGTTGAACTGCTTGAGATGGGTCGCCGCCTTCGCTGAAACTGACTTGTGATAGTCATAGAAGGAAGAGCCCCCGTACTTGATGCCTAGATCTACTACCTTGTGAGGATAGAGATCTAGCTCTTCTCTCCTGTGGGGATACACCGTGCAAATGACATCGCGGTATATCCCGAAAGCTATCACGAACTGGGGGATAGACAATTTTTTATTGAGCCTGGGATCCCTCGTTTTGAGCACATCTGAAATGTCACCATAGTTGTATGCCTTGTTCTCGAGTATATCCTGAGAGGCTATGAGCAAAGACACCAGACACACGTCCTTCCCGTCTAGGATATCTTTCCTGATAGAGTCTGGGATGGAGTGTGCTGGTGACTCAAATGGTGTAATGGCTGTGCCAGGTGCTGGAGGGGGGAATCTAGGGGGGCCTGTTGGTATAGCGGGTACAGCCGTGGTAAAGACTGGGACTTCGGTGATAGTACCTGAGGAGGAGATGGCGCTCTACACCTTAGATAGCCTGCTATTGAGGGTCTGTAGATTGGCTAAGATATCTGCCAGGGTATCCTGGGTGGCCGTGCTGTTTCTTGGTGGTTGTCCTTGAGAGCTAGTTCCAGGCCTAGGCTCGGGGGCTTGGTGGGTAAACAGCCTGTAAAGTTCTGCCTTTCTAGCTGTGGCCGGAAAGGGGATTCCCCTGAGCCTAAGCTCGGCCGTGATTTTGGGAATAGTCCATGCTCTCAAGGACGTGGGGGTTGAAAGAGTGAGTGATTCGTCTGGAGACACGGGTCTGATTGGAGTGAATGGTGTTTCTTCTGTCAATTCTTCGGTTGGAATTGGTTCTTGGGACATTCTAAAAAGGAATGATTATGTGAAAGATATATTAGAGGGGGAGTGAGGTAAGTAGGAGGGGTATGGGGGGTGGTGTATCTGGAAGAACTGGACTGTATGGCTAGATGCCGAAGCGAAAAACTTAACTGTTGAATGACTGGATAGGTGAGGCCCTGCTAATGCCAAGTGGCGGTGAGAGGCTCTACCTATGATTTGGCTTATGACGTAGGTGCCACAGACGTGGTGGCGGGATGTTGGCCGTTCGGTGACGATAAGAGAAATCAAAACGTGTGGCCGTGACAGGTGAGGCCCTAACTAGAGCCCTGTAGTAGGGCATGCGAGGCTTATAACTATGATTTGGGCGTGGGGCCATACCTCCGTGTTGAGGTGGGGTGGGGGTGGTAGGCCTCGCGGAATCGGATTTCCTGATAGGGTGGGCTAAGGCATTA